GGAGTTACATTGGGATAATGGAAAGCATCTGTCGGGCAAACAGAAAAGCTTCTATGATACACTTTTCAGGAGTGATACCCGCCGCTTCTCATCAGCACCTCGACTTTCAGACTGTATGGTGGTACTCTCAGCTTATCAAAGCGTACGCGCACTATCTGGTTGTTTCAGCCTGCATTTGAAAGAAAAGCACCCTTACAGTTTTGAGCTTTAAGTCACCAAGGCACGCTGGGGTTTGTGGTCCTCCGATATCCGCAAGCCTTGACCTTTAGTTGGTCCAGCCCATGTTGTAGATGCTGTCAAACTGCCTTATCTGGGCACATCTGAGCTTCCCACGGCCACGCAGGAGGACACAGCGACAGTCACCAGCCCAGGCTACGAAGAGCTTTGCGACCTGTACTGGACATGCAAAGCTGGTCTGATCACTTGATTGAGACAGTCTGAGTTCGGGACACCGCCTGGAGCACGAGCCTCAGAGTGGATGAGCAGTGTGACGAACTGCATCATCGATTCGATCAAACGAGGCAGCCGGCGACAGTACCAGGGCGCTTTTCCTTCTCCGCGGTCTCCTACGAATTTCTAATACGCAATCACCGTCTTCAATCCACTGCGTCGAGTGGATGTGCTATGCAAGTACCATCCACAAATAAATCAAGTGTAGCACGACTTGATCCAAGTCCTTGGGCTTTGGCCAAAGTGCCGCGCAGCCCTCAGCCAACTTGGCCTGTTTCCAGCTGCTTAAGCAAACTATGACTAGCTGTGGTGAGCGGGTCATGTGCCTCCACAGGGGTTGCAAAGCCGTGCGATACCAGAGCGACAATTCCTAAGAAAAATCAGGGAGCCGTTTGTGCAAGGCGAGTTCAACACGTGCGTTTGTTGCCCACAAAGCTTGGGCATCTGCCGGTGGAGCCCTCCTGATTGTCTTTCTTTCTAGCTGCCACCAGCCAAGCCTGCAGCTTTCATTTCCCCCTCACTTGCTTGCTTCATTCTACTACTTGTCTCATCATCATCATCATCATGATCATCATCATGCATGCATGCATGCATGCTCGCTCGATCCGAGGCTTCAGCAGCATGAAACTCTCTTATCGAGCTTGGTTGGTAAGGCAGAGTCCGGGTCCCCCCAAAAACGGCACCCAGCCTTGTCTGTGACCTGGCCCACGAACTGAATGAATGTGGCAGCATGGATACGAAACAGCAAGAAAATGGCAAACTGCCACACAAGGACCATATTACGTTCACGCCGGGAATTACGTACGTAGTACGGAGTAGCTTCAATTTTCCTTGCACATTGACACTGATACTGTAGAAGAACATTTTGCTGTCATGCATCTTCACAAGAAGTAATTGTGGGCCTCGAAGCTCTCCGCCAAGGCTTCTGCAATCAAAGAAGCCTGAGAATGTTGTCCAGATTGCCATGGGGCCATAGGGATCATAGGGGCAGGAATGTCTCAACTCCCACACTGGGGCCTCTTTCTCAGCAGAAAGCTTCACGAGGCTACCTTCGCCTGGGCTTTTGAAGGCCCCAGGTGAACATCAGCAAAAGCTACTGGGCTTGCGGCGTTTGGCGCGTGCCCGATATGCCGAAAGCACATTCGGGGGTACTTGCTTGGCCTCAGTGAAGCATTTGCTGGCCCGCTTGGGTGTGCAGATTCTCATAGTTTTCGGGGCCTTCGGGACCTGAGGGTCGAGCCGCAAACTCAGCGCAGGATCCGCCTGCGAGGTACACGTTGTTGTGCTTGTAACTAAGTTCGGGCACTGGGTGTGAGCCCTGACCTCTGTGGCCATCGAAAATGCCAGTTAGGAAGCCCAACTCGTGCAAGTCCTGCGCGGCAATGCGATCGTCGTTGCGCTCCTGACGGGTGCTGTCCAAGGCAGCAAGTCGCAACAGTCGAGAGTTCTTCTCCGTCCTTTGCCCCCGCATTTGTGTCAACACCGCACATGAGGCCTTTTTGGCCAGCAAGCGGCCTGACCTGCTGAATTTGGACTGTAGGTGCTGCTGCGGAATTAACATGCTGAGCTCGCGACATCCATGCAGACCTGGAAAACGTGCTTGCATCAAGTTTCCCACCCAGGTCCCAAGAGATCTGAGAAACACACGACTTCGCTCTTCTGCCTCCCATTAACCTCAGGCGTCTGCAATTTCAGAGCTCTTGTAGGAAGTAGCAACATTGTATGGGGAAGTTGCTGAGCACTGCACAGCATCACTCTTGATAGTCATTGGGAGAAAGCTGACCTTGATCCAGCCACTGCTGTGATGTCATTCCAATGAGACGCCCAAAAGCTGTCAATCCAACCCGTGTTCCATGGAAAAGGCCGCCAGGCCTCATCAGAGTCTGGTTCGGCCAAAATGCTGTCAGACAAACATTGGCTAAGATGTCCTGGCTGGGTCCTAGGATGCCCGAGGCAAGAGCTGTGGCGGAACCTGGGAACCGTTGGGAGCTCCCTGGGCTGGGATGAAGAGGTCCGGTGCCTAGTCGGACATCTGATTTGCTACAGCCTCACCGCTTCTCCCTTACTCTTCAGGAAAGGACGTCCGGCAGCGCGCCGTCGGGCATCACAGCCCCAAGTCTCAGAACAAGTGACATGCCCAACACAGTGGCCAACGTGGCTCCAAGGGAACGGCTTCCTGCGACCATTGTACCATCTCACAGTCCCCATGCCTTGGCACCGGGAGTGTGCCTCATGACTGCTTAGTGCCGCACAAGATCACCACTGAGGATCCCACGCCGTGCCGGCTTTGCAGGGGCGGGTGCCTCTTCTGCGCAACGCACAGGCGACGACCCCAACATTCGCCAGACTGGGCCCCAAACCACCCGAGCAGTGGCAGCGCCCGCTGCGCGGCCCGTGAGCACCTAACCACTGGCAGCTGCCCGAAAAGAAATCGGAACGAAGTACCAACGTCTGAGATTCGACGGGAGCTGGTGGAGGTGATCTGCGAAACGCCACGCACGGAGCATGCAGGGGCTGGTGCGTTCTTACATTCATGTACCTGGCCTAGGTGCAATGTCAGGAACCGGGCTTCGAGGGGCGACGTCCTTGTCCTGTAAGGGAAAGTGAGGTCCTACAGCCTCGGAGGGCTCGCCTACTGCTGTTCACAGTCCTCTGAATCTGGGGCTGGAAGGAGATTGTCCGGGCCTTAGACATCCCAGGCCCACCCGGTTCAAACCTGAGGCGCTGAAAATCATAATCTTCTTGGTTTGCGGCGTATCGCTTTGACATCGCCACTGGAGAGAAGCTTAACCTTGCTCCCGTGCTGTTTGCTCTGACAAAGAAGCACTTCACAAAGCGAAACCTGCCTCCCATCGGCCGGAGGCCGTGTCGAAGCGCTCCAACTTCCCCCGCCTTTCCAAGGCTGCAGCTGCAGCTGCTGCTGACTTATGCTACTGCTACTTCTTCTCCTTGTTCTTCTTCGTGCTAGTGCTAGTGTCTATGAGCTCTGGGTGGCACACGCACCGTTCAGCGCCGCAGCTTGCTTTAAATTGGTCAGCATGACCTAGATACACTTCAAAGCTCGTTCGCACCTTTTCTCATTACTGGTGGTTAGTAGGGAATAAGGGAATGAAATCAGGGCCGCACTGAGGCACCTGGCTGTAGGCCATCGCCTTCCCCTGACCTGACAAGATGGGACGGATCCCAACAGATGCCCAGCCCTAGCACTGCGTGAAATGGAAGTTTCCATCAGCAGGGGGGCCCCAACATAGACCAGACTGATTTTAAGAATCTACAGTCCTATAATTGCAGCCCAACAAAAGAGCATTTGATTCTTGGAAACTCCCAAACATCTTGAGGTGGTGTGCAGCGGCTCGAAACTTGTAGGCTTCGAGGTTGGGCGCCTGCGCCCAATCAGGCTTGGCTTGAAGAGTTCACCCAGTGCAGGCTTGCAAGCTTGGAGCCCCGCGGAGGCTCTGTCCTGCCTGGGCCCCAAGCAAAAGCCCGCAGAACATTGCAGAATAGTGGAAGAAGGCGCTAAGAAGGAAGCTCCGACTTCTGCTTCTGCTTCTACTTTTGCTGCTTTCGTCGCTGCTGTCCTGAGCCATTGCTTGGTGTTTTCTGAAACCAACCTCGAACGAACACAAGCATGCATCCTGACAGGCAGCCCGTGCTGCGGCAGCACGGCGTTCCTGCAAACTCAAACAAAATGGTCCAACATTGTCTGAACGTTGAAAACCGTGGCCTCCTCCTTGTCGTCATCTCTTCCCCGAACACGCCTCATTGGCGCGAAGAAAGAACAAGTTGAACTCCATTGCAATCAGGCAAGCAAGGGCGCGGCTCTGCTGCTAGCTTGCCTGAGCGTTGCAGCGCTCGAAAGTGAAAGGAGATGGAAAGAAAGAATGGCTAGCTTCCGCGTTGTAAGGTGTCAGCGCTTGACAGTTTCTTCATCCATGAGGCCGGTCTGCGAGCTGTGTCCTGATCGAGCCACTGACCGAACAAATCGCATCACTCCACCCAGCCCTCCAGAAACATGTACATCGTCAAGCTGATAAACAACAATGAGAGCAATCATGCTAACAGTTCAGTACTGACGAAAACATGCGATGATAGCATATGATAGGTTTTCTGAGGTCTGAGCTCTCCCTGGCAACCAGGCGGCGAGCGGCCTCTTCGTCCATGAGCGTGCCCTCATCACCGCCTGCAGCATGCCATGCTGCAGCGACACCACCCGTCATCAGAAGACAGGAAGCCATTATTGTTTTGGCTGCTATTTCTGTGGTTTTTCTTGCTGTTGTTGCTTTTTATCATCCCCTGAGATCACGCTTTTCTTTTGGAGGAAGCAGTGGAAAAGGTAGGCTTATGCAGTAGTACCTAATTTGTGCGGCAGCCTGATGTTTGCTTCTCAAAGCGACGGGAGAGCTCATCATCTGTGTACGCTCGCCCTGCCCAGGTACGGACCTCAAACATCTTTCTGAGCAATTTTGGCTGCGTAAGCAGAGCCACACATGCTCACCAAACCTGAAATCTAAGGGACACACTCTCGAGTCCTGTTCCTGGAACTGCCGCATTCGTCAAGCAGGCGGCCCCATGGCTGCTAAACCGCTCTTTTCATGTGTTGTAAGCACGAGGCGTGTGACTGAAGGGCCCTATGAAAAGTGGGAGTATGCAGGACTACGGTCCGTGTCTCGTTTGGGCTTGGATTTTGAAGCTGCGCGTGACGCGTGCGCGTCTGGACTTGCTCGCCAAGCTGGCCGGGACTCACAAGGAGCAGGTGACCTGTCTTGGAGCTTTTCAATCATGGCTGTGCCATGCGGCCAACGCAAACGCTCAAACGTCAACGATACGAAAGTGAAGCTCGAGAGGTGATTGCTCAAATGCACACTCATTCATCATTGCAGCAAGAGGAGGCCAAAGGCCTTTGGAATAGCGGGTCCAGGCTGTAGCTGAAAGGGATTAGCACAGCTATAGAAACAAAAATGCTAATGACGCAAGAGCTACCACCTCTCTGCTTTTGCAAGAGAAACCGCCATAGTAAAGATCTAATGCGCTTTGGTACATCAAATGGGGTGAGACGCGCATGCTCAAGAGCCTCCAGCCTGCAACAAAATGGCAGCCAGCCCTTCCCGAACAGGAACAGCCCTGCCTCCAGCAATGACCCCCAGGCCTGCGACCTGGGACCACTTTCCCATTATCTCAGGCAAATTTGCAGCCATGCCACGCACTTGAAAGCAAGCCTGTACGCCAAGAGCGGCACGTGGGGTGACCTCGAGGCCTTCAACTTCTTTCCTTTTTCGAAGGGGTGCTGGGCTTGGCTTCCAGCCGCCTGCGCTTTGCAGTCTCCACCTGTGAAGGAGCGATTTCCAGGAGTACGGTTCACCTCGACATGCGCGGCGAATGTGTTTACCGGCCTGCTCTGTTTCACCAGACTCTTCGGCTTTTCGAACCGACTCGATCAGGTACTGGAAAGCGTCCTCCAAAGGAAGTCGTGTGCAAGTACTTGCTGGCTTCATCGAATTACCCAGTCCTCGGCATTATCCTTGAAAGCTAACATGTCTATGTGCGACTGCGTCAGCCTCAGGGCAATAGAGGTCTGGGCCCGCGCATGAGCAGCTAAGGATAGTAAGCTCTGCACATGCCGCATTCCATCAAATAGTTGAAGTTGATCGTTTTCTTCCAGTGCTCTTCACCCAACAAGATGATGGGCAAGGGGTGAGAGATCTTCCTGGTCCAGCAAGCCACATCTGCATTGAATCCGCAAGCTGCCTTATTTGAGCCCAGGGGCTTGGTCTGCAAAAGCACCAGCAGCTCAAAAAGCTCATCGAGCGACCCAAACCCTGCGGTAAAGCTCAAGCATTGATTTGGGATCTCTCACGGTGTTCTGTCTGACGTTGCAGGCCTCCGGGACAGACTACAAGGCCCATGCATTTGTAGGCCATCCAGAATTTCCTCATGAAGAAATAGTGGAATTCGAATGCACCCTCCTCAGAGACATACCTCGCAGGCAGCATCTCGTAAGCCACCTTCCCAACACCGCACAGTATGCTTCCAAGGCTCTTGTTCAAGGATCCCCACCTGCAAATAACTTTGGAGTGGCAGGCGTACACCGGGAGTTTTGAACCTGTGCTGCCAGGTGACTCAGGCCGGCTGGCTCCAAAGCCAAGCGTCTTGTCTCCTAGTGCTTGGCACGCCACTGCGCTGGAGACATGTCTAGCACATGGCAGATGTGTACTTCAGCGAGAACGGTCCTGCTTCGTATGCCCCGCGGTTGGCGGCCTCCATGATGCCAGGGCCGCCGCCAGTGCTGACATGATACGACCTCTGCAGAAGTGGCGGCGGCGGCGCCGGCGGTGGTGGCGGTGGTGGCGGAGGTAGCTGTCAGTGTCGCAGCCCATGGAGGTGCTAGAATTGCGACGGTGCTACGATTGTCATAGTGGTGACTCGTCAACGTCATCCCCATGCCCGATCTGAGGACTGTGCGGCAGTCCTTTGGCAGCACGCTGCCGATTCCATTCGCCCAGCTTTTTTCCAAGCTCCATGGCCATCCTCAGCCAGGCTAACCGCAGCAGCGGTCAAAGCGCTTAGCAAACCAATGTCTGCAGCACAGGAAAAGAGGCACTGCTCGCTGTAGCTGAGCTTCACGTAGTACTTGTCCATCGCTTGCATCTTTTGGGAAAATCGTAGCTTGGCACGTAGCGCTTCGACCTTTGACATGCCAAGGGACTGAGGAAAAGTGCCGCAGTTGGAAGGCAGCACGGTGGCCTCCTCTTCCGCTGTGAGTTTCTTGATTTGTTGCTCTAGGTCGGACATGTGCTTGGCGCGGTCCTGTTGCAGGGAAGTTTGGCACTGCTGCAACACAGCAGGCACCCTGGTAACTCTTGGCACGCTGGGTTACAGAAAGGTGGTGCCTCTGGATGCATCACCAAGTGCGATCCAACCTGTTGCAGGCGGCGCGTTTGGCTGCTGGGCGGCGAGGGCGAAGAAAGGCAGAATGAGTAGGGGCAGTAGTGGCAGCAGCAGTGGCAGTTGCTGTGGCAGCAATCATTGTAATAGTCGTCGTTGTGGTAGTTGCGGCGGTGGCGGTGGTGGGGGGGGTGGCGGTGGGGGTGGTGGCGGCGGGGGTGGT